AAATCTCCATTTTCGAGAGCCTTACTTTGTTGGTTCCAACATTTCCAAGCTCAACTAACTCCCCAAGTTAGTTGGCTTGGTCGTAGTCAGGGTTATAAGGTTTGGTTCTACACGTATCAATCAGTGTTAACCTTGGTCTAATCGCAAGCATTCTTGACACCTTAAGTATTTATCTAATTCTTTTTTTGGGGGTTGTAACATTATCTTTGAATATTGACATGAAAATGGTTCTTATACTTGTTTTTATGAGTTTTCTCTTAAAATATCTTGAAAAGTATGTTTCAAAGTAAATTTTCATTTTTGCATTGTTTTATTTCATGTTCACCATACTTGATGCATTCAATGTGCCAATTCCATAGTTTTCTAGTTCTACAAGTGTAGGTGGGAAGTGAGGATATTCTTACAAGTTGAAACTTAGGAATAGCATTCTCTGAAGATCGGTATGTCCTAATATGTTCAAGGACATGGCTATATTTTAGTTTCCTTTTCTAAAAGACTTTATAATAGACTGTAGTTTCTTTTCAAATTGATGTAAGGGTCATGACCCTATGATATTATATGTCTAAGATTGTTAGGACAATACTTAGTTTTTTCTTATATTCAATAAAAGATTTTGATAATTATGATGAGAAGTTTTAATTTCACAGTTTTTTCATATATATGTGATGAATGATGTCTAAGGGTTTGTACAAGACCAATGGCAGGCCGAGTACGATGTGTAGCGACCTGGGTGTGCTCTTAGGTCGTTACAAATTTTGATAAAATTTTGAAATCTTCATTAAAGTCGACTATTTTCATAAAAGTCACATATTTTCACGAAAGAGGAATGCTACTTTTGGAAATAAATAAATTTAACATGAAATCTTGCTTGTAGTGGCACCACGTGTTCGGCCTAGGGTTTTTTTTAAAAAAAGAAATGAATAATACATTTTTCTCAAAAATAAAGTACTTCTTCTCCTTTATACCCTATGTCCTTCTTCCCCTTCAGTGTACCAAACATAACAAGAACTCTAAGTGAAAGAAAGCAAAAGAGTTTTTTTATTTTGTTTGGTATAGTTGTTGTGTTAATTATTTTTGGTCCTATAAAAACCACTCCAATAGTTTGGCCAAACTAAACAAAGGTCATTTAGTATTTTAGTCACAATAAGAATGAAAGGCTTAAAGATTTGAGACTAAATTACAACATGACACTATCCCTAGCCTTTGTTTAGTTTGGCCAAACTATAAGAATGGTTCATCTATGACAAAACATAATTAAAGCAACAATAATACCATATATCATAGGTATCAAATCAAAGGTCTTCAAGCCCTCTTTCATATTGACTTTTCTAAAATTCATGTTTGGATGAAGGAGTTATGCCATTTGAGTGCAGCCTCTGTTAATAGGGACTTTCTTCCCTTTTAAGGAGAGATTTTTTGTCTTTTCCTTACCAAACAAGAACTAAACGTTTTAATCACCCAAATAGGGGTCTACATAGATTTAGATCACCTTTTCAATCTTTCAAGAAGATAAAAGAGGATGTTTCAATAGTTCTTCAAGTATTTGGGGAAAACACCAAGAACTTAGTTCTTTCAAGGTAACTGGGTTCCTCATAGCGATGAATTTTTTCATCCTCACACCAAAAATGTATTTGTTCATCAAATTGTCTATGCAATCATTTATTCAAAGGTTCTTGAGGAATTCATAAGGTTTCACTTCATGCGCTAGGCGTCAAGCCCCTTTCCCATTCGTTCGTTATCCCGTATGCATTCAATTAAATCGTGTATGCGCTCTCTTCTTGTAACAAACTATATAGCCTCTAATAATCATTGAAATATTCTCTATATATATATATATATATATTTATATATATATATATATGTATATATGTATGTATGTATGTACGTATATGTATATGTATGTATGTATATGTATATGTATTCAGAGTCTGAGAGTTTCCGTGAATGAGTCCCTTGGAGTTCACTAGGTTAAAGCTCAATGAGGGCTAATAAACTTTGTGGATGAACTTCAGAAGGTATTTGATGTCATGCATTTTGTTGATGTTGAGTGTTTGGAGTTGATTTATTACAAGCTCAATTGACTTTCTAGGATATGGCTAGAGCAGTTGAAGAAGAATAGGGTCAAAAGGGAACATCAATTGACTTGGGTTGTGTTTGAAGATGCCCTCTTAAGGATCTTCTTTCCCCATGAATCAAGGGAAGTGAAGGTAATAAAATTTCCTAATCGTTAATAGGAATGTAGGAGTGTTAAAGAATACAACCTCAAGTTCACTCAAATCATGTTATTCTCCAGAGATTGTGTCAGAATCAAATGTATAATGAGACTGTTCGTGTCTTGACTATCCCATTTGTCATGTAAGGAAGGTAAAAAGACTATGCTAATATGAGACATTTACATACTCAGTCTAATGATTCATGTGGAGTAGGTTGAGAAAGACAAGTTAAAGGACATGGAAGAGTTCCGTAGCAAGAGGGAGAACACAATATGTCATGAGTTTGGCCAATAACAGACTAGAAATATGAACTAATCATCTTTTCAGCAAAACTCATCTGGGCGTTCTCCATCGTCAGCTAGTGTGCTTGCACTAAGGATTATGAATGATTATAGGAATGACAACTACCAAATTTTCAAAGTTCAAGGTTCTTTGTCATAGGGCAGTGTAGAAGAAGGGTTCCCTTTAAACCCACTCTTTTGTAAGTGTGGTAAGCTCAATTTAGGAGAGTTTTGTATTGCTACGAGTCTTTACTACAAATATGGAGGATGAGTCACTTTTCTAATGAGTGCCCCACGAATACGCAAGGTGATGGGAGAATTAAAGCCCAATCATCTTCAGCAGATCCGATAGATATAAGTATCCAAAATGAAGCTACTTCAAGGACGGAAGGGGCTACAAACCGTCTGTATGTTATAGCTAGTTTCCATGATTAGGAGAAGTCACCAAATGTTGTCACAGTTATGGTTGAAGTCTTTAGCATTTTTACATTCTTCTTTGGAAGATTAAAGATTAGATGGAGAAAGGGTACTGGCCATTATAAATGAATAGAGGAGATATCAATTTGTAATGGTAGGTAATGAGCCGATTAAATGCTCCAAATTTAAAGCCTATTTGGCCAAGTGATATGAAATTATGACATGAAATTATAACATGAATTGATGTTTTGTTTCGACATGTAATTTAGATACTTAATATTGTATGTTTTCACATACAGATAAACACCTCATAAGTATTAAAACTACTCAAATAGTCTCAATTCTTTATACAATCATACCAAACAAACAATAGTTTTTAAAATCGTAATACGATATCACTTAACAATTCTTAAAAATACAACATTTATTGATTAAACTTTATTTCAATAAAAAACAATTAAAATTAAACATCTGTTATAGTTGTGTACTAGTCATTGATATCTTCTCTCGTTGAACTTGAATTTCTCAATCATATGACAGAGAAGACGAACACCGCTGTTACCTTTACCCATTTATTAGATAATTTTGATGGTAATAAATTTGATTATAAAACAATAAAATTGGTAAATATAAATACTAAAGTGTGAATTTATTTAAATTATCAGTAAATTTTATATTAGTGATAATAATACTATAAATGATTTGAAACGTAATGGTATGAAATCATAATTTTGTATACATATGAAGTAACTAGTCGGTAGATATAATTCTGGGGTTATTTTTATGAAATATATATATACTTTTGGGTTGATTGTTGTATTTAAAATATATCAAATCTTATTTTTTTTGAAAATTTGAAATTTCATCTCACTGGATGAAATTAGTGTGAGATTGCATGTACATACACTGATTTTATATCGCATATCCAAACACCAACTTAATTAAAATATTTTGGGTAACTTGGGCTAAAATAACTACCCCTCCTCCAGTATAGGTTGAAGGAAGACACTTTGAATCATGTCTAATATGTCGAGGTTGTGGACAATTTTTAACCTTTTCTATTTTTAATATGAAAAATCAAATAATCAATAGGAAATAATCCGCGAATAACTTATTCCAGCATATCTAATTTCAAACACGTCTTCAAACCAAACAATCCCTAGAGTACTATTTCTTAGAGAGATATTTGCATCATTGGAGTCTATGACTACCACACATTAAGTGGTGCTACTATTCAAGTTGTGCTTCAAAAAATGTTTTCTCTTTCTATTGAGGAGGTCAAAACTGTAAGGAACTACAAGTAAAACCTCTCAAAGCTGACAATATATGTACCCATGATCCAAACATTCATGGATGATGCTGAATGATGACAATTCAAAGATAATAAGGCGGTGCAAAAATGGCTGAAGATGCTTGAGAAAATGTGTAAGATGCTGAAAATTTGTTTGACAAATTCAAATATGTATATATCAAAGCACGAGTTATGAAAAACTAAACCAAACTGATGGAAAAGGTTTGTCACTTCTTTTCTTATATTGCTTGTGAGCACAAAATGTCTTGAAAAATTAAAAAAAATCAATGAAGATTTGAAGGCTATTAATCATTTTGCCAATCGCCTTGGTCTCCAAACATTTTGTAGTAGTTGGTTCATATGTTGTTGGTAGAGACAACTATGTTGCTGAAATTAAGGAGAAGATGCTGAATAAGACAAAGGATGTTTTTTTGTCCCCCATTCCCATCTTTGGTATGGAGGGCTTAGGGAAAAAAACTCTAGCTAAGAGAGTTTTCAATGATGAAGATATTCAAAAATACTTTGATAAGAGAGTTTGGTTGTGTCTACATGAAATGTAATAAATTGCAGAAACTACGAGCTTTCTTGAACTGATCCTTGAATCACTTATAAGGAGGGAAGTTAAGGTCCGAAGCAGAGATGTAATAGTTAGGATGCTACATCATGTATTGGGAGAAAAATGGTATTTGCTTGTCCTGGATGATTGGTGGTGCGTTGACCGTACATGTGTAGTCAGTTCTTTGATACGTTGAGAGGAATAAGTACATCTTGAGGAACATCATTCTTGTGACGACTTGCATGGAATTGGTGACATCCAAAGTAGCAATAGTAGGTCCTCCTCATATGTTGGAGAAATTAGCAGAAGATCATTGTTGGTCCATTTTGAAACAAAAAGAGTTTCTTTTTGGGGAAGTTCTGGAGGAAACCCTGAGCATGAAGAATAAGATTTTTGAAATGTTTCAAGGTCTACCATTGGCTGCAAGTGTGTTGGGAGGCCATTTATGTTACAAGGATAAACATGAGTGGCAGGAAATTCTTGATGGCAACCCCCTTGTTGCAGGGGAAAAAGGCATAAAGAAGATCTTAACACTCAACTATGATTATCTACCATCTCCATATCTGAAGAAATGTTTTGGTTACTTTGCAATGTTTCCGAAAGATTTTGAGTTTGAGAAGGACTAATGAATCCAACTTTGTATGGAATAAGTCCTCCTTCATCCATGTCAACAGAACCCCGTGATGGAAGACATTGGGAGCGAGTTTTTCCAATCTTGTTGCTATATTATTTGCTGCAAGATGGAAAGCTAGATGAGATGAACAGTATTACACATTGTAAGATGCATGATATTGTGCATGATTTGTCTGGAGATCTTTTTATTGAGATTAACATCAAGTTCTGATAATGTATATGTAATTAGCATCGTAATTAATAGCTAGGCATTGTAATTAGTTAGTAGTAAAAGTTAGTTACGTAGTTAGCTATCATAGTTAGTTAGCTAGCTAGTCTAATTATCTAGAATATTCATTAGTTAGAAAATAGTTTAAATTCTTGTTTACATGTATAAATTCTCATTCATTGCTTAATAAAAGTGTGATTTCTCTTTCTCTCATATTACAACTCTTCACAAAATGCTCTGAGTCAGTTATGGCTTCCATACTCTAGTTCAATTGAGATTTCACCACTGATATGAAGATTTAATATGGTGTCATAGCTCGGTTTTTTTACTTCAACTCATTGATTCTTATATTCTAATGGATCTATGTTTTCTATGTATCGATAATACAGATCGAATCTCAGTGTTTTTGTACCTCTATGAGTTTTTCCCTTCTTTTGTTATTCTGGATCTTGAATTCACTTTCTCTACTTAATTCACAATTATTTTGAGTTATATGCTCATGGCTATTGACCAAAACACATCCACTTTTGAGAGAACTAGAAATGTTAGTAACGATACAAGTACAACCATGTATGTGTATCCCTTGGATAGTCCAGGAATAATATTGGTTCCTACTCAATTTGATGGAGAAGGATATTGATCATGGAGGAGAGGAGTAATGCGAGCCCTATCTTTAAAGAATAAGTTGTGTTTTTTATGGGAGTTATGTGAAACCAAGCATAAACTCATCTCAGATTCGCTAATGGTAGAGGTGCTGACATGGTAACATCATGGATTTTAAATTCACTAATAAGGAGATTTCAGATAGAGTAGAATATGTGACTGATTTTTTAGAGTTGTGGAAGGAACTGAAGGACAGATACAATCAAAGAAATGTAGCAAAATCGTATCAAATACAAAAATAAATTAATGGCCTAACGTAGGGAATATTGGACATCACTTTTTATAACACAAGGAAGAAGAAACTTTGGGAGGCGCTGATTACTTTGAATATAAGAAATCAATGTGGTTGTACCAACACTTGTGGTGCAAAAGATAGCATGCATAAAGCTGAACAGGATAGGTGTTTGATATAATTTCTAATGGTTCTAAATGAGGTATACACAGTGATAAGGGGTAACATCCTCATGATGAACTCATTCCCTTCTGTGGCACAACCTCTCTCTACTGATCCAAGAGGAGAAACAAAGGGAGTTAAAGCCAACTAGTAGAATACCTATGGATGCAAAATCTTTGAATGTATGTCCCTTCAACAATAAGATTCAAGAAGGAATAACTTTAAGAACAAACTATCAGAATAACAACTATGCAGGAAATAATTATAATTGAGGAAGAAGTTTTTTTTACATTGACAATGAAAAAATGCTTTGTTCTGTGACTTTTGCAAGCGAACAGGACTCATAAAAAAAGTTAAAACCTGCATGGAAATCTCCAGAACAACAATCAAAACTTCAAGCCAAACGGACACAACAATGAAAAAAATGACATGTAAGACAATCAGAACTACAAAGGGAAAAGAGTAGTGGCAAATGTGCACAGTGATATTCGTGATGTGATGTCTACACAATGAGATGAAAACCCACCTCAAAGTAATGGGCATAAAAATGTTAATATAACAAAGGAACAATATGGGAAGATCATGGACCTGATACTAAATTTTCAAAATGAGAATATAGGAGAGGATCAAAATGTTGCATGTGTCAATAATGGCTTTATGAACTTTGTAGGCATTGTTGTTTGCTCAATATTAAGACGTTACCTTACCCTATACTGATTTCTCCCTAATGGATACAAAATTAAAGTGACGGGTTCGATGATGTATCAATCACACCTGATATCATTCTGCGTGTTGTGTCGTATGTACCATCCTTTAAGTATAATCTAGTTTCAGTTCATTCATAACTACATCTATGAAGTGCATAGTTTTATTCACTAGTACTTTATGTGTGTTGCAGGCCCCTTCAGTGAAGAGGCCTCAAGTAATTGGTAGCAACAAAGAGGGAGTGTATATTCTGTGTTCAAGATGCCTGAGAAATACCAATAGAGTCAATAAATGTTCAGTATATTGTTGTCATTGTAGTAGTAGTAATAATGATCTTTCTTTCAATAGTAGGAAATGTCCTTCTGTTGAAATTGATTTCTGTCATGAAAATGAGTGTAAGAAATTCATTGTTGATGTTGTTCATAACCCTCTCGATGTTGTTCATAACCATCTTGTTTGTACTTCTACTTTCAGCAATAATGATAATGTCAGTTTGATAATCATTCTTGTAAGATCACAAAGAACAGTGTAAATTTGTTGTGGCATAACAGATTTGGCCATGTTCTTTTTGCTAAAATGAGGAATATTTCCACCCTAGCAACCATTCTTTCACAAAAACAACCCTTCATGTGCAGCATATGCCTTATGGCAAAAGGCAAGAAAGATCACCTTTCAGCTAAACCAATAGTCGAACCAAGTCCGTATTTGAATAGTTTCACATTGACCTATGGGGTCGTTATCATGTTCCCAAATATGGCAATCAAAACTACTTTCTTACCCTAGTGGATGATTATAGTATATCCACTTGGACCCATCTTCTATGTACTAAAAGTAATGTTCTTCATGTGCTCAAATCCTTCACAAACATGGTAGAAAATCAATTCAAAACAATGATAAAAAATATCAGGTTTGATAGTGGACTGGAGTTCACAGTAATGAAGCAGCCTGATTTTTCATGAACAAGGTATAATTAATCAAAAAAAAATCCATATACCTACAACAAAAAAGTGTGGTAGAAAGAAAACATAAATACCTATTAAAAACAGTTAGAGCCCTTCTTTTTCAATCTAAACTACCTTTGAAATATTGGGGGGGGGGGGGGGATTTTTCCTTGACTTCCACTCACATTGTACATAGATTACTCTCAACACACTTCAAAATCAAATTTCCTTATGAGATGCTATATAACAAGAAACCAAATTACACTCAACCCAAATCTTTTGGTTTCCTGTTTTACCCTACTGTGCCTAAAATATTAAGAGATAAACTTGAGCCCAAAATATATTTGTCAGATATTCCTTTGGCACAAAAGAATACAAGGTGATGAATCTTGCCACAAGGAAAATAAATGTTTCAAGGGATGTAGTCTTTCATGAGGACATCTTTCCTTTTACTTTGTCTACTGAAAGCTACAATTTTCCATCCATTTTGAAATCTATTGAGTCTGTGTCATTTGTCCTAATCCTAGTTGTTATACTGATCATAGGTCTTATGACAATAATGTAGATGATATAGGGTGTGAACTTGATTTACACACTGGCTCTCACCCACCAGGAACCATCATCGATCACCACCTCTTGAACACCCCATTGATTATTCACCACCACCATTACATGACCACTCATCACCTTCTCAAGCTATTGTTCCTATAATAAGTCAGAGAAGATCCAACAGGGAGAACAAATCCCTCATCATTTATAAGCCTACATTGTTTCTATGCCTAATCTAAAGAATCCAAATCATGTCACAAACTTTTCCCTCACTTCCTTATTCCCCATACACTATCACATATCTTCTAATCTCATTGCATTTCACAGTCAAATGCTTGTTGAAAATTTTCGTCATGATAGTAAACCATAATCATATGAGAAGGCATCCTCCAATTCTTCTTGGTAAAACTCCATGACACAGGAGTTTGAGGCCCTATTTGCTAACAATACTTGGGATCTTATTGAACAACCAGTGGGCAAGCAAGCAATTGGATGTAGTTGTGTGTGTAAAGTCAAACATAGAACAGATGGGAACATTGAAATATTTAAAGCTAGGTTGGTTGTGAAAGGGTACACAGAACAAGCTGGGATAGATTATCTAGAGGCTTACTCACATGTAGTCAAGATGACTACTGTCAGAACTTTAATAGCCTGTGATGTGAAAAAGGGTTGGCCTATGTTCAAACTTGATGTAAATAATGCATTTCTCCATGATGATTGTCATGTCCCATTTTTCGCAACAATAGGGTTTTGTGCACGACCTAACTCTTTAGGGATTTTGGGATTTGGAGTCGCCATCTAATGAATTAAAGCGCGTTAAGGCACCTATCTAACCTAACTAAGTCTAGCTAAGGTCAACGAGCCAGAGATCAGGGTAAGGGTTCAAATTACCTCGAGGGGAAGGTGTTAGGCATCCCTCGAGGTCCACAAATGTGGGTCCCGGCCGTAACTAATGCAATCTATGTGGGGGTTACAAGTAGAAATTAAGTTCACTTCATTCATTAGTTTATTTAAGTAACATGCTTGCTAGGTGATAACAAATATAAAACAATTAAGACTATTTTATTATTTTTATTAATTTAAACATGCAAGGCTATGTGATAGAAATAAATAAACAATCAAGTTTATTTTTATTTATTTTAACATACGAGACTATGTGATAAAGAAATCGAACAAATAGATCATGTTAGTATTTTAATTAATATTTAATATGCGAGCTTAAGTGATAAAATATGAAATAATTGAGAAATAAATTTATTATTTTTTAATTAATTATTTAAGCATGCAAAACTAAGTGATAACAATAAATAAACATTAAATAAAATTTAAAGATAAGCGAGGGGATAGTAAAGAGGCAAATAAATAAGCAAACAATTTTATTATTTTTATTTTAATCTTCCCCAAATAAATATAATTAAACAAAAAAATAAAGGTATAAAGGGAAGGGAGACTCTAAGAGAGACTTTTTGGATCAGCACTCGAATTTCTTTTATTTTCTGATAGGTTGCCGTAAAGGGACAAATAAAACCAAAG